ATCATCATCATCATCATCATCATCATCATCCTTGCTCATCGCTCATCGCTCATCGCTCCTCCCTCCTCGCTCCTCACTCCTGGCTCCTCCCTCCTCGCTCCTCCTCATCCTCCTCCTCCTCCTTCTCCTCCTCCTCCTCCTGTCTCCTCCTCCTCCGGTTCCTTCTCCTGCTCCTCCTCCTCCTCCTCCTCCTCCTCCTCCTCATCATCATCATCATCATCATCATCATCATCATCATCCTTGCTCCTCGCTCCCTCGCTCCTCCCCCTTCAGCTCCCCAACTCCTGGCTCCTCCCTCCTCGCTCCTCTCCTCCCCTCCTCCTTCCTCCTCCTCCTCAGATACTCCTCCTCCTCTTCCTCCTCCTCCTCCTCCTCCTCCTCCTCCTCCGCTTTCACCTTGTGCCTTGAGGGCACTACTGGCCCCGTTCATTATGTCACGGACCACTTTCCCTTGATTACTGGGTTGGGAGCGGTGTCGGGTTAGTGCGGTGGGCGGGCGGAATTGGGACTTGTGCCTCCGAATTAAGACCGCTCTTGCTTCACGAGGTGAAGGTTTAGTAACCTTGGAGTGGACGGCTTCCCACTTAGACACGGAGGCTGAGGGCCTAACGGCCCACCAGGTTTTCCTCAGATCTGGAAATCAACTTGCGGACCGCGCGGCCTCAGAGGCCGCGGAGCGTTCCTGGCACCTTTCGGCCCGCACGGATCCTCGAACTGATTTTTGGGATGCTCAGACCGCCCTGATTAGAAGGAGAGCGCGTCGCGCCCTGATCGACTCGTCAGCGGCCGACCCCAGGAAGGCCCGCCCAGCTGTGGCGCGCTTGGAGAGAGCGAGGCAGGGTTCGAAGTTGGATCGGGCGCTTCGCGTCTCTCCTCACAAGTTTGTGACTTTCGGCAACGCGTTTCGTTGCAGGAGTTGCGAGGTGCTGTGTGATAAGGATCGCCTCTTAGAGGTCTCCAAGGCGCCATGCATCCCTGCTGTTGGGGTGGACCCCTTCCCCTCTGACGTTGTCGTGGTGGTCCCTGGGCCCGTCGCGGTGTCTGGAGCGGTCTTGCATCCATCCCACAAGCTTGCGTTTTGGGATTTGCATTGTCTGTACGTTTGTCAGTTTTGTGGCCGCACGGCGACTTCGGACGGGCGCCAGTTGGCGCTTGAATGCAAAGCGCCCGATCAGTGTCTGCTGTGTCCGATCAGCGAGCTCGAGCGCGAGATCCCAGGTCGGAGTTGTCTGTGACTCAGGGTGTCGGGGAGGCTTTGCCTGTTTCGGTGGACGAGGTCCCTCTCGTCCCTCTCCCTGTCGACCCGAGCAGCGATTCCGATTAAAGGGGGTGCCTTAGGCACTTGCGCTCCTGCTTGCTGCTCTCTCCCTCTCTGCCCTGCCCGCCTCGTTGCACGACGTTGCTTGCCAACACGTTCCTCCTCCTCCTCCTCCTCCTCCTCCTCCTCCTCCCGGGAGTCTCGGCCGGACGTCTCGAGGGGGTCTCCTGCAGCTGGCGGGGCCCCTCGCAGCAGCGCGGACACGTCCCAGACCGTCTCGCGTCGTGGAAAAGTCACGACGGCAAGTGTTTCGCTATTGTCGGCCTCTGGGGGCTCTCGCTGGGCCTCGGGAGCGTCGAAAAACGACGCAGGACGAAAAGGCGTTCCCACAGAAGAGGTCCAGACACTTTGGCATCTCGGGACGATCGAAATATGCACGGAAAGAATGGTTACGATGCCCAGCAGCATGTCCTGTTCATTTGAGCCAGATTCGTTGTCCGCGCCGCCGCGGACGGTGTTCCATGAAGACATAAAGCCGCCTGTTCAACAGCGGCCGCTGTCGGTGTTGGACAACATTTGATGTTGGACATTGTGCCCATTTTTCCGTACCCACGTCGGGCGCATCGTTCGGACGTGTGCGTTGCTTCTTCGGCGAGGCCCCTCGAGGAAAAAAACGCACGAACCCCAGAAATGCGCGGGGATGGGCGTGGGACGTCCGAGCGGCGGCGAGACACGGGTCATACCGACGAACAGGGACGGCATGGACGCAACTCTTCGGAACTCCGCGCAAGTCTCTTGGATCGGCGCTGGCCGCGCCTCGGGCGCCGACCCAAAAGATCCTCGCGGACCTTCGACAGTTTGTGCTCGTGCAGTTGCTGCTCCGGTGTGCTCGGCCTGGGCCCACCAGGGCGCGGGGGCCCCACACGGCCTGGTGACCACACCGCGTGGTGAGTCCACGGGGGATGCGAGCTCACCGCGAGGCTCTGAGACTCGGGTCGTTCTCCTCGAGTATGCCTCGGGCGACTGGGGCCTCCATGGTCCCAAAGCCTGGCGGCGACGGACCGTGCGGTGAGGTCTCGAGGTCACCGCGCGGTCTGTCACCACACGGTTTGGGCACCCCTAGAACCGGCCCAAACATGGATTACGCCGCGTGGATTAGCGACGAGTCACGCTTCCATGCAGAATCGGGGCGCTGTCGCCAAATGAGGTATTCCAAAAAAGGCCTTGCCTTCGAGGATCGAAGGAATGACCATCGCGGCGGAAAGCGGCGGACGGTCGGCGGGAGTAAAACGAGGCCGCCTCCGACGGCGGAAGGCTGGCAGAAGACGGCGGAAGTAAAACAGATGTCTTCCAAGAGATGACACTATTTGTAGGTTCAGGGTTTCTGGCATCCGCCAAATGGGGCAACACTGCCATGTTTCGGGGGGTGCCTTCCCCGATCCACAATCCATGTCCATGTCAGCGCGTGCCCGACGAAGGCTGGGCAGGGTGTTGCCAGGGGTGTCCCCCGACGGGCCCACACACACACACACACACCCTCGCGCCGCGCGAAAGATCACGGCGCAGCTGTCGTTTTACCATTTGGGGCTTCCCTGGGGCATCTAGTGGGCCGTCAGGAAACGACTCAGTGATCATGACGAGCTGGTCAGTGTGAAGGGGTCCATACCTGTGGGGTTCAATAGCGAGAGAAAGAGGCGCAACATCGGAGGTCTGGGAAGGTGCCCCCATGATGCCCAGGGGGGCAATTGCGGCCTCCGGAGCACGCCTCACAGAGCCCAGACGGCCCCGAGGGCTCCACAGTGACGCGGAAGGCCGAGGGGACGCACTCATGCCAGGAACACCGTTGGTTGGCACCTTCCGAACGGAGGTCTCGGTGGCGCGCATGGGGGGGGGGAGACGGGGCGAGGGGGGAGGGGGCCAGTCTGTTGGAGAGGCACCTCGCCTTGCAATCGCCCCCCTCCCTTCGAAGGGGGCGCCCCCGGAAGCCACCAAGAAGGGCGCGAAGCCCCTCTTCGAGAAGCCCCCGAGGCCCTCCTCTGGAAGGCCGCCTCCTCCTCGCCCCACGGCGGAGGTCTCTCCGAAACTCCCCGCCGAGGTCCCTGCGGAGGCCCCCCGATCCTGGTTTCCGAAGGCCTCGTGAGGCCCGAGAAGAACCAGGATTAAGTCGGGCACGTCCCTCTACAGGAGGAACAGTCAGGAATAGTTTTAACATATCATGGGGACTACTTTTCGACTATGTTTTAAATGTTTACATTTTTGTTTGGCCTTTTCGCATGTTTCTTCGAGAAGCCGCCTGTACGGGGATAGGCCCGACCCGAGGCCAAGGGCGCGCAGAGAACCCTCAGACCTCGATCCTCGGCGCCTCGACATCCTCGAAGCTCGGTCCTCGACCTGTGCGCGCCGCCAGGCGCGCGCAAAACACCCTCGAATCCTCGATCCTCGAAGCCTTGATCCTCGAAGCTTGGTCCTCGATGCTCGATCCGCGCCACCGAGCCTCGGCGCAGCGTCAGCGCTGGGCACGGGCGCTCAGGGCCAGCAGGGCCTCCATACAGCCAGGGCGCTGAAGAAGGGGCCCTTTTCGTTTGGGAGGGGCTCAGTGTTCCTTAGGTGTTTTGCAGTCTGCCTTCGGTTTCCCCTTGGTTTTCGATGGGAAACCGAAGTGTAACCTACGGAGAAAAGCAGCCTCGTTGCTTATTCAGGGCTCCGTAAGTCCACGCACCGACTGTACCCGCGGCCTGCGGGGGTTCGGCGCCCCATGGCAGTGGCGGTCGCTCGGCGGTCCGCGCGGGCCACGCCGACGTCCGCCCACGCCTGCACGGCAGTGGGCTGCACGTGCGGGCGGGGGGGGGCGGCGCCGGCAGGGCCGCTTTTCCGTCCCGGATCCATCTTGATGGTCCCGGGGGAGGGGGGAGGCGGAGGACGAGGAGGAGGAGGAGGAGGAGGAGGAGAAGGAGGAGGAGGAGGAGGAGGAACAGGAGGAGGAGGAAGAGGAGGAGGAGGAGGAGGAGGAGGGAGGAGGAGAGCGATGAGGGGAGGAGCAAGGAGGAGGACGAGGAGGAGGACGACGAGGGAGGACGAGGAGGAGGAGGAGGAGGAGAGGAGGAGGAGAGGAGGAGGAAGAAGGAGGAGGAGGAGGGAGGAGAAGGAGGAGGAGGCGGAGGAGGAGGAGGAGGAGAAGAAGAAGAAAGAAGAAGGGAGGCGGGTGAGGAGGAGGAGGAGGAGGGAGGAGGAGGAGGAGGAGGGAGGAGGAGGAGGGAGGAGGAGGAGGGAGGAGAGGAGGAGGAGGAGGAGGAGGAGGAGGAGGAGGAGGAGGAGGAGGAGGAGGAGGAGGAGGAGGAGGGAGGAGGAGGGAGGAGGAGGGAGGGGAGTGAGGGGAGGGGCGCCCCATGGCAGCGGAGATCGCTCGGCGGTCAGCGCGGGCTACTCTGCGGTCTGGGAGGCCCACACCTTCAAGGCAGGTGGCCTGCCCATCCAGGGGGGGGGGGGAGAACTCGATCCCCGGGAGAAACGCACCAGCTTTCCGAGCTGCGTCCAGTCGTGGGCGACGAAGGGGCCCCCGAAGGCCAGCTGCCGGTGTCTCGACGCGCCCTCCTCTGAGATCTGGCCCCCTCGGCCCCTCGAGGGGAGGGCGCCCCGCGGCAGCGGAGGTGTCGCCCGGCGGCCGGCCCAGGCCGCGCCGCGGCCGCCCCGCGGGGCCCCGCGCCTCCTGCGCGGCAGGGGGGGCGGTGCCGTGTGAGGGGCGCGGGGGGGCCGGCCATCCCCGCCCGTGCGGCGGGCTCGCGCAGCGCTGGAGCGGCGGCCCTGGCGAGGGTGTTCCTCCTCCTCCTCCGCCTCCTCCTCCTCCTCCTCCTCTGCCTCCTCCTCCTCCTCCTCTCTCCTCCTCCTTCCTCCTCCTCCTCCTCCTCTTCCCCTCCCTCGCCTCCTCCTCCTCCTCCTCCCTCCTCCTCCGCCTCCTGCGCCTCCTCCTCCTCCTCCTCCTCCTCCTCCTCCTCCTCCTCCTCCTCCTCCTCGAGGCGCACAAATCGGAGGGGCCCAAAATGCGCGGTGGCCACACCGCGTGGTCAGTCGGTGGGGATTCGGGGTCTCCGCGCGGTTGTGGGGCTCGGGTCGTTCTCCGATGGCGTCTCGGGCGACTGGGGCCTCCGAGGTCACCACGCGGTCCGTCACCACACGGTGTGCGTGAGGTCCGCCCAGATTGCCAGGGTCTGCGCGGAACCCCCCTCCCTGCCACGCGGAGCTCCGAAAGTTTATGTTTATGCAGTTTTGTCGTTCCTTCAGGATCGCTGCAAGTGGCCTGGGATCGGCCAGTGTCGATTTTCCTGCACTGTTGGAAAGTCGCGGTCATTCAATGGTTGGAGCGGTCCGCGCGGTGTCCAGGGCCAACGCACAAGTCGCCGCGGCGCGGGCCACCCTCGGGGAAGAAGCCAGACGCAGGGGGTCGGCCCAGCCACATCCCTTGTCTGAGGCCCTCCACGAGTGGAGTGTCGGGGTTGGCCTGAGATGGGTCTTCGTCGGTGGATTCCCGCGGTCGCCAGAGGAGGAAGGAGAGAGCAGAAGAGAAGAGACGAGACGAGAAGAGAAGACAAGCTGATACTGGCAGAGAAGAAGATCGGAGAGGAGAGTATAGCAAAGAAGAGAGAGGAATATCAGGAGCATGAGTAATTAGGAGGAGGAGGAGTTTGATGACAAGGGGGAGGAGAAGGAGGAGGAGGAGGAGGACGACGAGTTACAAGCGGAGTTACCGATTGGCACTACGTGCCTGAGAGGGGGAGGACGGGGAGGAAGGGGAGGAGAGGGAGGAGGAGGAGGAGGAGGAGGAGGAGGAGGAGGAGGAGGAGGGAGAAGGGAGGAGGGAGGGGAGAGGGAGGACGGAGGGAAGAGGGAGGAGGGAGGAAGGGAGGGAGGGAGGAGGAGGGAGGAGGAGCAGGAGGAGCTCCGCCTCCCTCAGGAGAGGTCCGTCTCCCAGCCCGTGTTTCCGGCCCCAGCCGCGTCGTTGAAGAAGGTGTCGCTGTCGCTGGACGAGGACCGTTCTCGGCCCCTGGAGCCCTGAGGAGGAGGAGGAGGAGGAGGAGGAGGAAGAGGAGGAGGAGGAGGAGGAGGAGGAGGAGGGGGAGGCTCGAGCAGGAGGATAGAGCAGGAGGAGGACCGAAGCATCGGCCCAAGGCTCTCCCGACAAGGAAGAGGGGGGTAGGTGAAAGGGGAGGAGGGTCGAGGAAGAGCGTCGAGGACGACGATGATGACGATGATGACGATGCTGATGGCGATGATGATAACGATGATGGTAACGATGATGGTAACGATGGTGACGATGATGATGACGATGATAGCGGTGCTGACGGAGACGGTGTCGGCGATGGTGATGGTGATGGTGGTGGTGATGGTGTTGATGGTGATGGTGAGGATGATGATGATGATGACGATGATGATGCTGATGATGGGTGATGATGATGATGATGATGATGCTGATGATGATGATGATGATGATGATGATGATGATGATGGTGGTGATGGTGATGGTGATGGTGATGGTGATGGTGATGTTGTTGGTGGTGGTGGTGGTGGTGGTGGTGGTGGTGGTGGTGGTGGTGGTGGTGGTGGTGGTGCTGGTGGTGGTGGTGATGATGATGGTGGTGGTGATGGTGGTGATGATGGCATTGATGATGATGCTGATGATGAGGAGGAGGAAGCGGAGGAGGCGGAGGAGGAGGAAGAGAAGGAGGAGGAGCAGGAAGAGAAGGATGAGGAGAAGGAGGAGGAGGAGGAGGAGGAGGAGGAGGTGGAGTAGGAGGAGCAGGGTGTTACCTGAGGCGGCGTATCCCGCCAAGCCGTCGAGCCAACTGCAGAGCCATACTCGCGGCCAGCTGCCGCAAGGCGGCCTCCCTCCTCGCCTTCTTGCAAGGAAGCCCGGCCGAGGGCGCGCTTCGAGAACCGCTTCCCCCAGGCATCGGGGGCGGCCAAGATGGGGGTGATGACTAGGGGGGGGAATCTCATGGCGAGGGCCATGACATTTTCTCAGATCTCATGGCGACTCTTCTTATTTCAATACGTCCCCGGACGCCCCCACCCTGGGCCGCGCACGTGCCTCGGGCCACGATTTGCGCTCCCCCTCTTGGACGCCCCCCTTCTTGGACGCCCCCGACAGGCAGACAGCGTCGCCAGCCCAATGACCTCGTTCATCTCGGACGTCGCCCAGGCGCGCGCGCGAGGGAGTTCGCGGAGGTCGTCGCTCTGAGAGCTCCAGCCTCGGCGAGGATCTTCGGATGTCATCGCGCAAGGAACTCGTTTCGGACGTCGTCGAGCGATGATGTCGTTGCCAGTGGGCTCTCCTTGGGGGGCCTAGTCGCCATGGCTGGATTTACCCCGAGATCCTAGCCATGATGCGCTCCTGGGCGGGTCCCAGAGAGTATCTTGAGGTTTAGTTATGCTCTCGGATGTTCCCGGGTGTCTTCGGAGGATGTCCGCACTTTTTCGATCATCATCCGAAGATTCTCGGGAGTGCTCTGGAGGATTGCGTACGTAAGTCTGGGGGGGGAGCCCTGAGAAAGAGGAGGATCACGGAGGATGACGGAGGATGAGGAGGAGGAGGAATGGAGGACCAGAGTAAGTGAACCCAAGATGTACCAACAGCGTTGCACCTCATACCCGGTCCCGCCCCCATGACCCGTCGGTTGTGGAAAGAAGTTAGGTACTTCATGGATTCCCGGACCCCAATCTGCTTCAGGCGCCCTCCTACTTCAAGAGTCTCGATACGCTTTTGCTGTTGTTCTTCTCTGGGAGGGCCGGAACCCAATCTGCAGTGGGGGCGCGCATCAAGAAACCATGTGCTTTTCGTCAGGGTGTCCTGGGTTTCTTCGCTCCGCGCGCTGCGCGTTGACGTCCCGCAGCCGTTGAACGAGCTGCTGCGTTCAGGGTGCTCCGGCTTTCACCTCTGGTGCATCTCGCGCGCAGGTTTTGAAGGTTGGGTTCTTGCGCGGGTTTCTTGCGGCCGCGCCCGCACTCTACTTTTCAGTTGACCCAAAATGGGGTCCAGCGAAAAGGGGGTAATGCAATAGATTTGGTGCAATAGATTTGTGGGGTTGCAATAGATTTGGGACGTGCAATACATCCCGGGGCGCACACAAATTGCTGGGCTCTCGCGTGCAATACATTAGTTGCAATACGGTGCAGTACAATGTTCTGGCGCCATACACTGGGGTCACCCGAAGCGCCGTCCTGCTTCCTGCCTCCTGCTTTTTTACCCGCTCCTTCCGGCCGCCGTGTCGTCGTCACCGGCATCTCATTGCTCCCCTGCGCAAGGCGCCCCCCCCGGCCCCCCCTGGAATGACCAGAGCCCCCCTTTTAAGGTCGCCCCCACAGCTCGGGCGGGAGAGCTCCGCTCGGTGTCCGGCTGCCCGGCACCTCTCTCGGCGAGGACCATCCCGAAGCATCCGAGCGAAAAGGCACGCACAAAATCGAAAAACGCACGGGAAAAGGACTTCCGAGCGACGGCAAGAAGTCTTTCGCCTTGTTCGGCCTCTGGGGGCCCTTGCTGGGGCCCGGGGCCGTCTAGAAGGGCTCGGGATGAAACATCGGCCCTGGGGAAATCTAGATCTCCCAGATGGGGTTGGAGTAGATGGGGTCGGAGGATCGCGCTGCATCGCCGATTCATCGACGATGCGGCTCGATGTGGAGACATTGTTTCCCCACGCCGGCGTCGCTGATGCATCGCCGACGTCGCCGACGCATCGCCAATTACGTCGGCGATGCATTGGCGATGCGGCGCGATCCTTCGACCCTACCTACTCGGACCCCATCCAGAAGGCCTCCAAGAATGCGACAAGGCGTGGTCATGAAGTTCAAGGGAGTGCCGAGCGACAGTCCGGCTTTGAAAAGGAGGTTACGCAGAATCGGACGAAGTATCGGGCGAGAGCTCTATTCTGAAAAAGGAGCCGCCCCCCCCCCTCCGTGCACTTGCTTGCGATGTTTAAGACGGGGCTGCGAGCCTTTAAGGCGAGAGCCCCATTTTGGTAACGAATCGCCCTCAATCCGTTTAATTGTCACTTCTGTGTTTAGACGAGCGAGCGTGGCGCCATTGCGATAGCCTTGTTTTGCAAACGATCCGGCCGCCATCCGTGTAACTGCCGGACTTGTTTAAGACGAGTGTGTGCTTCGCCTACGCGAGATCCCCATTCTTATTCCCCGTCGTCCGTCCTTATAGCTTATAGCTGCTGGAATCTTCCATATTCGTGAGCGGTGAGTAAGTCAAGAACGAAACGCTTGCCTCGCCTTAAAGACGCGTCTGATGGCGCGACAGGGAGGCGCTACGTATCATGGACGTGGGAGGGGGACGTTTGAGCTCGTCCCTCCCTTTCCCCTCCTGGTCCTTCTATGTCCTCCCCAATGAAACTCGACTGTATGTTTCTTGCCGTGGCATCCCCACGCTTGCCTCGACCGCAACGGGTTCGCTCCGACGCCGCTGACACAAAAGGTGCACGGGCCTGCTGGGCCGCAGCGTTGGCGATGGGGGGGCACTGACTGCCGTGCTGTGGGCGCCGCAGGCCTCGCCGCGGCAGGCCCTGCAGGGGGCGTGAGGCGGCTGGCCGTCTTCAGCTTCCGGGGGGGCCCTCGCCGGGCCCATGGGACCGTCAGAAAGCAACTGAGGGACGAAGAACCGGCCCCGGGGGAAGGGGTCGGGATTTCCGGGGTCCCCGTGGTGAAGCAGTCAAGACGTCGCATGGCTGGGTTGTGGTCGCTGCCGGACATCTTCGGAGCTCTGGGGTGCAGGCTCCCTGGCCCAGATGTGAGGCACGGACCCGAGACCAGCGCCCCTCCTGAACCCAAAGTGATCCTTGCTTCAAGACCAGGACTGGGGCACCCGTGTTGAAATCGTCCCCAGGGAAAGGGTCGGGACGTCTACTGGCCCGGTATTTGAAAAGTCGGGACGTCGCATGCCCTGGGGCCGCAGGGCACGGGCAAGCGCGCCGCCTGGTCCGCGTGCATCCTGCCGCGGCGTGTGCGGCTTGCGGCTGTCCGCCTGTTCCCCTCCTCCTGCACGCCGGCCAGTTCGCTTCTCGGCGTCCCAGGGCGGCTCTCTCTCTGGCGTGCAGCCACTCTGCCTCGCCGCCGACGTAAAAAAGTGGCCTTCGGCAGAGCACGTGCGCACGGAGCGCCCGTCGAGGTGTCGGCCGACGGAAGCACGATCCGCAGCCGCGCAGGGGATGTCGTGGTCGGCGCCCCCCGGGGGAACGCGCAGCAAGCTCTCGTGTGCCCCCGCCGCTCCCGCCCGTGCGAACAGCGACGACGACGACGACGACGATGACGACGATGATGATGATGATGATGATGGTGATGGTGATTATGATGATGATGATGATGATGATGATGATGATGATGATGATGATGACGATGATGATGATGATGATGATGATGGTGATGATGATGATGACGACGATGATGATGATGGTGATTATGATGGTGATGATGATGATGATGATGATGATGATGGTGATGGTGATGATGATGATGACGATGATGATGATGGTGATGATGATGGTGATGATGATGCTGTGTTCTTCAATACACGGCCCCAGAGCCTGCGCGCGCCAGCGCGGCCGCGGAGAGGCGCCAGGAAGTGCCGGGCAAAGGCGCGGCCGTGGCAGCACATGGGTTTTGCCAAGCAAGTTGTGGGAGGGAGGAGGGGAGATGTGCGCGAGAAGTGGAGTGGACCACTCACTGCGCACGAACATCAACTCCCTTTGCGTAGACTCTACCACCCTTCCTCCGGGGTCATGGGCCCCTTCTGGGACACTGTAGATCACATACGAGTCTGCCCAATGTTTCATGTCTTTGACCTCAGATCATCCCACCTAAGCCGGCGATCGCCCCCCCCCAACTACGCAGCAAACGGCGCGAAGTCCACGCGCGCATGCACTTGCCGAAATCAGACCAAACACATCAGTGCCGCAAGCGGCTCAACATGAAAGTACCAACACATACAGGTGTTGCATGACAGTTCTTGAAGATTCTGCCCACGCACATTCGCTGAAATCATGGGGAAGCTTATGGTTGTAGCAATGTTGTCCAGAATCCGCACTCTCGCGTCACCGCTCGGTGCATCCACGTTGATCAAGCACGCGCCCTGCGCACGAATCCGAATATCGTGTTTGTCGAAATCCGTCCAAATCCATCCGTGTTTGCCGCATTTCAACAGCAGATGAAATCAACACACAGCGTGTCTGGTGTCTTGCAGCTCCGTGCGCGGACCTCCTCACCATCACCTTCATCAGCGCCATCGCATCACCGCTGTTATCGTCATCGTCAATCGCCGCTAGCGCCGCCATCACCAAACATTCATCTTCATCACCGGCACATCGACATCATCGCTGTCATTGTTCTCACCGGCGTCGGCGCCGTCATTGGTCTTGCCATCGCCATCGTCACCGTCGCCACCACCATTGTTGAAATCATCATCGTTGCCGCCGATGTCGGCGTCTTCATAATACAGCGCCCTCCAAAGTTACCGCCAGCACTCGAGTGCCCGCGCACCCCCGCGGTTTTTGAGACGCGTTGTGAATATCCCATCGGCACCGCCATCGCGGCCACATCGGTTGTGCCAAACCGGCTGATCGATTTGCGCGCGAGTTTGCGCGCGCTAGCGCAGCCGCAGAGATGCGCCAGCCAGCGCCAAGTAGTCACCGCAATCGCGGCCGCATGAGTTCTGCAAAAAAAGTTGCAGGTGAGAGTTGCCCGAGCAGTGGAGTTGACGATTTCAAGTTCTGCACGGTGGATTGCACCACGTAGATTGTACAACATAGCGTTCACCACATACAGTAGTTTGCGCGACTTAGTTTACACCACATAGCTTACTTCGCACGGCTTGCACTACTTGCAGTCCCCTTTCAAAAGAATGGATTGTGCCACCCCCTCCCCCCGGACATTCGACACACCGTGGTCACTGCACCTTGCACATGATTCTGCTTCATCGTCAGTTTTTCATATAAGTTCAGCATATTTCACACAGGCCGTGCCACCCCCTTCCTCATCTCGGCCAAGTGTAACTATGCACGCGCATTCTTTGATCGCAAAAGATCATGTTGCAAGGGCCGCTTGCAAAATAACAAAGCAGCGCAACACGCGCGCACATGTCGAAACAAAAAAAAGTTGTGAAAGCGCTTGAACATACAACCATTCTGTATTCAACCAGAGATGTCAAGA